AGGAAGATACAGTATCCCAAGAAGATAGAATATCCCAGGAAGATATCCAAGGAAGATACAGTATCCCAGTACCCCAGGAAGATACAGTATCCCAGGAAGACAGAGTATCCCAGGAAGATATCCAAGGAAGATACAGTATCCCAGTACCCCAGGAAGATACAGTATCCCAGAAAAAGAAGGGAAAAAATCGAAGGTAACGTTTTGGACTCTTGTTCAGTTCCTTTAAAAGACAAGGAGAGTTTTCTCTATAACCAAACAAATATACACAGCAATGAAACCAAACTTCTCCTATACATAAAGCAATGCCCACTTTTGGTGCAGGTCAAGATTTCTGGAAACCCCCGAAACCTGGGTTAGCCGGCTTGTCTTTAAAAGCGACCATATAAGGGAGCAGTTTCTTCTACAAATAGATGGCTTGTGGTATATAGAGCAGTTTCTTCTACAAATAGATCATGGCTGGTGATATATAATGGCCTGTGATACATAAGAGAGTAGTCCCCCCTACCTGATCGGGCCGCCCGTCACTCAGTAAGTAGATGGCCTGTGTCTGTGGGTCGGACATAGCCAGCTGGATGGCAGCGTAAGTGTTGGTGGAGCCCCAACACGACAGGTTCTGAACCCACGACCACGCACTCTGCAGCGAGCGCTCCGACACATCCACCAGTCGGTCTTTCCACGCAGCAGCTTTGGAGTTGAAGGTCACGATGTTGAACTTCTTCTTGTGGCGCAGTTGTTCCTGGACAACAGAATCAAACCAACAGATAACATCAAACACTAGACCAGACAACAGACAACATCAAACACTGGACCAGACAACAGACAACATCAAACACTGGACCAGACAACAGACAACATCAAACACTGGACCAGACAACAGACAACATCAAACACTGGACCAGACAACAGACAACATCAAACACTGGAACAGACAACAGACAACATCAAACACTGGAACAGACAAACCAACAGACAACATCAAACACTGGAACAGACAACAGACAACATCAAACACTGGACCAGACAAACCAACAGACAACATCAAACACTGGACCAGACAACAGACAACATCAAAC